TTGCTTTTTTTTTTGTTTTGTTTTGTTTTGCAATAGCATCATATTGTTGATTCAAGTTCCATATATTATTTCCCATGATCATCCAGATCTAGAGACAAACTCTGTATTTCACAAAGTAGCATTTATGCAAACATATGCAGAGGATGTTGGAGCTCATTGATATAATGGACAATAGGCCAGATTTAGCTTTGATTTACAACACTGAAATTCTATTGGGAAAGTCAATGGAGTCAGAATTTGGCCCACTGTGAGCAAGAGGAGAATTAAAATGAAAGACTTTCTTTTTAAGTATTTTTAACAACAAAGCTTTTTAATTAATACTTTTTATTTCTAAAGTGATTAAAATGTAATTAGAGGGCCCTAGAGCTAGGAAGGATTTAATTATAAAGGTTCCTTGTTCAATTTTCATCTGGCAAGAGAACTGCTTAGCATTGTGATCCTTTACTACCCACCAGATGGATGATTCACAGCATACTGTAAAAGTTAATTGGAAGCTTCTCCAGGAATGTAATTACATATTGCAGTAAAGATTTTAATTCAAAGGAATATACACAAACACTTATTTACCTATATAGATTGATACATTTGCATACAGTGGTCAATCCAAGATAACAAACAGCTCAGAAATGAAAAATGTTACCCCTAAAAAGTGTTCTTAATGACCCCACAAGATATTCTTAACTGACATTACACAAATGTTTGGTATGTTTGATACTGAAAGCAAAATTTGATTTAAAATTGACATGGATAACAAATTATCAAAAATATGGGGTGGTTATTTAATTATGTAGTTACTGTTTATACTATACTTTGTATCAGCACACAAAAACTTGCTGGCAGACGGCTCTGTAGAAGGTTACAAAGCCTTCCAGTCCTAAGTTGCATACAGATATTTCAGAATGATCATGACAACAATTCATTAATATCCATGTTCAGGCTATTGTCCCCTCTTTTAGAAGCCTCACAGAATAAGCTAAGCCACTGGGTAATGCAAAATGGGACACCATTTGAGATTATATTGTTTTAATAGCAAACATGGTTGGCTTTAGTGCTCAACCTCTCCCTACATCTGGCCCCTCTATTCTAACCATTCTTGAAGTCTCCCACAGCATACTGTTGCAGACTGATGAATTCCCTCCAGCCACAGTGAATCTATTAATTTAACATCCAGCTTGCCAGATCAATTAGCATAACACTGAACCTGTGAAATAGCCATTAAGTGGCAATGAAAACATTTAACAGGCATGCGCCAACCAAGAAAGACACAGGAGGCCCCAACCATTTTTATAAGTGCAGAAGAGGCTGGAAACCCCCGACTTATGTCCTTGGTCGAGTTACAACATCCCTGACTTGTAACACTTTCCCTGGAACCAATCACATCGCAAGTCGAGGGCCTCCTATATACTGTTGGTCTGAATTTACTGACAAAAACAATTGTGCATTACTATGTCTACAGGAACTTCATTTACAATTTGCTTTAAATATTGCTTT